CGTTGAGACCTACATGGTTGACTTTTCTAAATGTCTGCATTCTAAATGTCTGAGAGTGGATTCTGTGGCTTGGAGTTTTCATGTGTCTGTGAGGAATGCTTTTACAGTACTCCGAAGAGAGATTCTAGCAGGATAATAGTGTGGTCTAATTTTTTTCAAATTTTATTGATTTGCAAACAACTTACATAATTATACTAATTTGGAAGCACCTGAGTTGGCATGCTTCACTCACCTTCCACCCAAAGTCTCACCTTCACAGCCCTCTCACCTTCGCTGCCCTTTCCTCCTTCCTCTCTTTTCCCTACCAGCTTTGGTAACCAGTCTATTTTTCTGAGTTTAAGAGGTATTTTTCTTTTTTCTTTTTTTAATTTATTTATGCATACAGAACTGGGGTACAGGCCAGAGGTGCAGGGGTGGTGAGAGGCTTCACCAGAGACAGAGTGGGGAGCAGAACAGGCAGATCATTGAAGTACACTGCTGAGGGGAGCAGCGGGTGGGTCAGGAGAGGTCTGCCACGCCATGTGATCACCTCCGGGGCAGGAGGGGATCGAACTCATGCTGTAGTAGCTTTAGTTTCTTAGTGCTGTGCTTTAACCCGCTTCGCCACCAGGGAGGGCCTCTTTTTTTTAAGATTTATTTACTTATGCATACAGAGCTGGGGTACAGGCCAAAGGGGTGGGGGGTGGAGAGAATTCACCAGAGAGTGGGGAGTAGAGCAGGCAGATTGGCTGAAATACACTAATGAGGGGAGCAGCGGGCAGGACAGGACAGGTCTGCTGCACCATGTGGGTCAGCTCCATGGCCGGGGATCATACTCCACTGACTGCGGAGAGCTTCATAGTGCTTCGCTTTAACAAGCCGTGTACCGCCAGGGAGGGCCCACCATACTGTTTTTTATTATTGTCAATATGTAGTGAAATCAAGGAGTGTGAAGCTTCCATTTTTCTTTTCTCTCAGGATTGTTTCAACTATTTGGGGTTTTGTGTATGTGTGTTTTTTTGTTGTTTTCTTTCATGGTTCTATACAAATATTATAACTGTTCAATTTCCTTAAACACTGCCATTGGGATTTTGGCAAGTATTATATTGAATCTGTAAATTGCTTTAGGGATATAGCCATTTTAATAGCATTTGTTCTTCTAATCCGTAGGTGGATTTGTATCTTATTTCTTACAATAGTGTCTTACAGCTTTCAGTGTATAGGTCCTTCAACTCTTTTGTTAGGTTTACTCACGGGTGTTTCATCCTTTTTGGTGCTATTGCAACTGGAATTATTTTTAATTTCTCTTTCTTCTAATTCACTATTTGCAATAAAAATGCAACTGATTTCTTTTAGAAAAAGATTTATTTGTGCATACAGAACTGGGGTACAGACCAGAGGCTCCGGGGCGGCGAGAGGCTTCACCAGAGACAGAGTGGGGA